TAGGACCGGGTTTTAGAGCTGGGCTTTTGGGCCCGGTCCCAAATGCCCAGCTCTAATTATTACTACTAGTTGGTGTGTGGATATGAAATGGTGGAGCAACATCTTCTCATGAAGACCCACTTGTCTGGAAGAGCCCACCCATACTCTTGTATAGGTAATGAAAAAAGAAAAAAGAAAAAGAACAGTGTGTGGTGAGTGTTTTGTGGCGAGTTCATGGAGAAATTTTAGGAGTAAATTTTTTTGTGATTATTCCAAATATTTTTTTGGGATTTGTCTAACTTATATATTTGTTTTGCAGATTCGGCATCGTTATTTGATCGTAAGAACAAATTACGATCATATGAACAAATGTCAGTATAATTTGGCCCGCTGTTGCAGGATCGATTACTACTTTTAGTAGAAGAGGAAGTTTTGACGTTTTTCCAGACTTGAAATTCATCATACACCCTGTTGGTCAACATTGCCCGTATCTTCCCCTGCATTGACGGCTTCAAGTAGTGTTGGATCGAACGAGGTAACGATTTATCTGTGTTTAGTTTATGAGGTTTAAATGTGCGTATGTGTGTTGGTAATGTGTTTGCTGATTAGTATGGTGTCCCAATCTTGGTTGTCGTTCTCATTGTACTGTTATTAGATGAGTGATAATGTGAACTGGTCTGCTGAGATGACCCATAAATTTCTGATCCTGTTGTCTGAGCGGGCGAAAACTTCCCATGGTACTTCAATAAAAACAGCATATTACTAAGAAATGTTAGATGACTTATCATCATTGGCTGGGAAGAGACTCAACATGATGCAACTAACCTCTAAGTACTTTCGCCTGAGAAAAGTATATCAAGCATGGCAGAAATTGCTTCAACACACGGGCTTTGGTTGGGATCATGAGTCGCAAACTCCAACATGTCCCTTACAGGTTTGGCAAGAATATATCAAGGTAAATTTTAAAATTTTTAATTCATATTAATCAACGACACCGTATTTTTACGAATTTTTTTTGGGGACTGACAGATATTAAGATATGTTTATTTTTCATTACCATCAAAACCCACTAGCGTAACAATTCTTCCACAAGAGACTTCCTCACAAGGAGCTTTATGAAGTCATATTTGAGAAGCAAACTGCCACAGGGAGATATGCGTACACATCTACGTCTCAATCGGTGGAGAACTTCACTTCTTCCAATCAGGGATCGGTTGACATTGATGATAGTGACTTCGAACTTGATCCGGATAGAACGACAGGGGAAAAACGGCCAAACACATTTGGTCATGCAAGATCGAGAAATATGAGGAAGAGAAGCAGCCCAGGACAGACAATTGTGGATGTCATTGGTAGATTGACGGACGTGCTTATGGAGAGGAGGAGTATGAGATAGAGGGCTAGCAATCGCAGTAGAGATAAGGGGGACGAAGAGAACACCAGTGCTCCATCTGATCCGTTTTCCATGAGCCATTGTATTGACATCTTGACGGCCATGCAAGTACCCATAGAGTTTTACATACCGGTTGTCAAGTACTTATATCAAAATCCAGAGTGGCGGGAGGTATTCATAAAACTCCCGCCCAAGGAAAATGCTAATTGGATTTATAACGACTTTCGCAATTTGTAGATGATCCTGTATGTCCTAAGTGTTTGCCCACAGTTTTGTATGCGCCAATGGGCACTTATCCTTTTATGGCTAAACCAAACTTTTTTTCAGCACCTTGATTTGAAAATGTCCCCAAATGTCTGCTACTGTATGAACTTATTCATTGTGCTATTGTTTTATGTGAGATAACATGTTTCATATGAGTTTGGAATTGTAATTAGAATTAAAAATTGACTGTTATATTTTGCTAAGTACTAAACAACTGTTAAATGTCGATCAATGTTTTGCAAATATGCAGGTTTAAATGGCATCGTCTAGGCATATATGAAGAAGACGATGTACTGCAGATAACGAAGAAGAAACACTGGCAGATATAACCATTGCACTGTGCGTTGTTGCCGCATTAGAAACAAATGGGCGTCAACTACGACATACATCCATATTAACTAGTCATGATTACATGTTGGAAGTACTTAATGGCCATGATGACAGAATCTTTGATAAGTGTTGGATGGACAAAGACTGTTCTACATACTTATTTTAGATTTTGGCACAGCAAGGGAAATTGCGACCAATCAGGAGGATGAGTATTGAAGAACAAGTTATGATATTTTTGACAATCGTTGGTAAAAACGAGACAATCAAAACGATGATGGAGGATTTCCAACACTCGGGTGAGACAATATCTAGATATATTAGCGAAGTTTGCGAGGTGATATGTGAGTTGAAGACAGAGTTTATCAGGCCACCTGACTTCAGTGATGTTCCACTGGAAATATCAACCAACCGAAAATATTACCCTTTCTTTAAAATACTTCTTCATTATGTTTTATATTAGTGGATAATTAAGTTCATTGTGTTATTAATACTGATAGTCGGTTAATATTACTAAAATTCAATTTTGATGATAGGATTGTATTGAAGCCATTGATGGCACACATGTATATGCTTCGGTTCCACAGGAATTTGGCAATAGGTATTGAAATTGCAAAGGAACATTGTCACAGAATGTAATGGCTGTATGCGACTTTAGGATGATGTTCACTTATGTCGTCACTGGGTGGGAAGCATATGCGCATGATTCAAGAGTTTTAAATTCAATTCTTGATGATCCTAATTCTGGATTCTCACATCCTCCACTAGATATAAATATTTTCTTGACGTATTATAGCGTATTGGCTCCACTTTTGAGGCCTTGTAATTCAAATAGCATGTGTGATTTTATTACAAGAAAATATTATTTGGTTGATACAGGTTATCCAAATAGAGAGAGGTTCCTCGCCCCTCATAGGTGAGTGACTTACCCTATTTCTGATCACCGTCATAACCAAAGGGGCCACAAGAGTTGTTTAACTACAGACATGCATTACTCTACAATGTTGTCGAGAGCACCTTTGGTGTTTTAAAAAGAAGGTTTCGTATTCTCAATGGAATGAACAATTACCCATTGGACAAACAAGGGAAGTTGTTATGGCATGTTGTGTACTTCATAATTTTATCATAATGTACAATATGGAGGACCTTATCTTCCAACGGTATACTGAAAATACGGGTAATGAGCAAGTATATTTTGATGGCCAAAATGGGGCAGAAGATGGCGGAAATGGAGAGCGCAACAAGGTATTATAGACAACATAACGACTGTATGGGATAACATAACAACTTAATTGTGGGCAGCACATATGACCATGTCATAGTTGTTAATAGAGTATATGTGTACAAACGATTCTAAGGGTTGATAATTAGTAGCTTTGTCATATATGTATTAATGTGGTGTTTTTAAACAATTGGATTAGTACTTGAAATTAATATGGGATTTTTTTTTTTTTAATATTTAGTGGTTACGAAATTACCAATCAAATATTTAATATTATTAGAATGTAAATTGATAAGTTTTTAGGTTATAATAATAAATTATTTTAATAAAATACACCAAAATATTATATTAATAAATTATTTATAAAAAATATATCAAACAAATATTCAACAATTTATTCAATACAAATAACAAGGTAAAAATACTCTTCCAAACACATTTTATTCAAATCATATTTTCGTAATAATAACTTAACTTAACTCTCCAATACTATTTTAAAAATCCAATCCAAAATAACAAAACAAACTCCCTAAATATTTTGAGTTGAATAGAATAGTATTGCATTTTAAAGAGACTTTTGAATATTGAAACAAATGTGTATTTGGATAGAATTGAATAGGATAGTAGAATAAGATAGGGTAAAAATAGTGAAACAAAGGGGCTTTAGTTTTCTTTCTAAATAATCTTACGGACACCGAATTTTTGTATCAAATGACATGGCATCTAGTGAGACGTGACCACGTTAGAGACAAAACACGTCGTCCGTAAATGAACGACTGTCCAACAATTATTGACGTTCATCCATATTTGATGGATGGTCGCAAAAAAATCAATGGACTCCTGTCCATATTATATGAATGGGTGTCCATTTACTGTGGACGGACACCCATATAAGATGGACGCCTGTCCAAAAAATTTTAAAAACAAAACAATGGACGCCCGTCCATCTTATATGGATGGCCGTTCATATACATTGGGTAATTGATAGACGGGCGTCCATCTTATATTGAAGGCCGTCCATATACAATAAATGAAATTTCTATTAAGCAATGTATGTGCAATACCGATTAATAATTCCATTTTATTTGTCCTCTTGCTCAATTCAATACAATTTCTATTTTTATATTACACCATTACCATGGCTCAATGTTGATCTTGAAATACTCTTTATTGACGAGAGACCTGATCTTGAAATACTCTATATTGACTAGAGACCATATGAGAGACCAATAAAAATCTGTTATTATTATTATTATTATTATTGAAAATGGACGCTCCTTGGCATCTGTACGAGGCAAATAAAAATTTTATTTGCCAATGGACGATCGTCCATATTCAATGGACAACCGCTCATTTTAAATGGACACATGTCTATATCATATAGACGAGCGTCCATTATTATACTTTTAAAAATTTATGATCGAGCGTCCATTTGAGGTGGACGCCTATCCATATAATATGGACGAGAGTCTATTGTTATTTTCATTTGAGATTGATGGACGGAAGTCCATTTGAAATGAACGGTCGTCCAATAATCATGGACACTCGTTCATATTTGATGGACGACCGTTCATTCATGAAAGACGTGTGTTATCTCTGACGTGACTATGTCTGACTAGATGCTGTGTATGTCGGTATAAAAATTCGATGCAAATTATCGGTGTTCGTAACATTATTCTTTATAAATAATAAAGTAATTAGAATTAAAAAACTAAAAGGACAAAAAGAATTTTTTTTTGGGCCTTTCGAGTTTTGATTTTACGGAAGTTTTAAAACAGCCCACCACTGATTTAACAAAACCAACCCAATGTAGCCTCCGATCAATCGATCATCACTTCTCAGAATCAATGGTCAAGATGACACCATATTTCAAAACCCTATTTCTTCTGATCCTCCTCACCGCCACCGCACCACATCCCATCCACTCCGTCTCCATCTCCCAATACCGTTCCCTCCTCTCCATCTCCCACTCGCTCCTCACGCGCGTCGCGAACCTACGGGCCGAACGTGGCGACATATCTGGCGCGAACCGGGCCAAACTCATGGCTCAAAAGCTGGAGCCAGGGCTCGGGTTAGGCTTCCTGGGGTTCGCCTGGTCAGTGGGATGGGACTACGCGAAAAATTACGCGTGGAGGGAGTTGGATTACCGGGAGCTATACGGTGCCGCTTCAGATTTGAACGATCTGAGGAGCTTTTTAACTGAGTTGATGAGATTTGACTCGGACCTTGACAAGGCCACTTGGATTCGCCGAAATTACGGGGATGTCCTGGAGGTTTCGAAACGGTTGTTTGTTAGACTGCTGGGCGTGTTTCGTCAATCGGTAAGTTCCCTTTCACTTTTCTTTTGTTTTAAATATGAATTTTTATTTATTTTTATTATAATTAGAATAGTGTAAAGAAAGGTGGGTTTGTTTGTTAAATGCAGGGGGCATTAAGAGAAGTGGTGGAAACAGTGCAGAAGGAAGTGGTGGAAGGAGGTTTATTGAGGGACTGTTTGGTGGTAAGCAGTAATGACTTGAAGGGCCTACTTGTAATTTTTGAAAGTTTGGTTTCCCAGTATTTTTCTACTCACCATGATCATGAGTATGACCTGTAAGGCTGTAACTATATAATTAACATACAACACAACTGATTTTGTTATTTATCTGTTGATTTTGTTACAGAATTAATTTCTATATATATATATATATATATATATTAGGTATCCATTTACATTTACCAATTTACCCACGTTGGAAAATAGTTCAAATTAAAAACCAAGAATAAAGTCCATCTAAGTATTTTCTTTAAATAAACTGTTGTTTATAATCATTTTATTATAAGGAATGTTACTTCAATGAGTAATGTTATATTCACAATCTCTTCTCACAAACTTTCTTTCACAACATTGACGTGATAGTTCGTAATGAGTTTCACCTAATAAATTGCGGTTGATCAATTGCGAACTTTCATATCGAAATTGTAAGAGAAAGTTTATAAGAAGAGGTTATGGATATAACATTACTATATACAATATACCTAACCAAACAAAGCATATTCCAAAATAACTTACTAAAGATTTGGTTGGGTACCTGGAGTTATATGGGCCATTCTACCCATGAGATTTGATGATACAATCCTCGTAATAAATAAACGTGGTGGGTGATGATATATGAACGTATTTGGGCCATTCTACCCATGAGATTTGATGATACAATCCTCATAATAAATAACACGTGGTGGGTGATGATATATAAACATATATGGGTGAACGGAAAAGATATAGCCATCAAAAGTTATACACTGAATTCATGCATCGAATGACGTGACAAAATCTTAACCGTCGATTAATATTAAGTTAAAATTAATCAACGGTTAAGATTTTGGCATGTCATTCGGTGCATGAATTTGGTGCACTACTTCGATGACTGTAGCATTACTCTATGGGCGAACAATCTGTTCCCACCCAAACTAAGCCCTGACAACAAATTTCCACCTGAAAAATTTCAAAACAATAATTACCCACCAACTGTTAAGATCGGTTAGATAGTTTCTCACCCACTGTTAAAATCTATTTGTGAAATTTGTTAATTAACATTGATAGTCACTGTAAAGACGAAAATACTATTTACGCTTTGAATCTAGATCCAAGATCTCATTTGGTCGAAATTGCATCTGGTCAGGTGTGATTTGGTCGAAATTGCATCCCAATTGGGTGCAATTTTGTCGGAATCACACTGGGCCTCCCAGTTCCAAACTCGCCACTAAAACTACCACATACTGCCATCACCAGAGTCACAAATTTCAAACACTTTCAATCCAAATCAATAATACATTAAACAATTTAATCACACAACACAAAATACAAATCATTAAAGAATAAAAAATTGAGAATGAAAAAAATTGAAGAAGATGGAGATGGGATGAGAAGGGGGAGATGAAGAAGAACAAGAAGATGGGAGGAGGAGGAGGAGGACTAGCCAAATTGCATTCAATCGGGTGCGATTCGGTTGGAATCGCATCGATCGGGTATGATTTGGTCGGATGAGGAGATGAATAAGAAGAGATGGGAGGAGGAAGAGGAGATGATGAAGAAGATTGAGGAGTATTTTACGGTTTTTTTTGTTTATATATGAGAGATGAAATGACATCATTACCTTTTGATTATTTTTGAATTTACTGTCTTAATCTTCTTCAGTTCAAGTTAACGAGCATATATTAATAGTTGGTGGGTAATTGTTGTTTTCAAACTTTTTAGATAATAAATTATCTTACTTCGGGTGGAAAGATGTCGTTCGGCCGACATGTATCCATGAGTTGATGTTGAGCTAAGGGCCAGCTACCTTAATTTAATTGCCTGTCACACACACACCTATCAAATCTTCATTCCGTATTTACTCAATAAACATGCTTCTACTTAATGCTTTGCATTTCATCTTAATCTTATCCTTCCCCCGGTTGTAACAAATTTCATTTAACAATTTCCTTTTTCAGATTATATTGGATTATTCACGAAAAATCAATCTTATTAAATGACATAAGTGAGTACATCATTTAAATAGCCCAAATTACATGGCTGCATTCTTTTATCACCTACGCAAGGGTCAACTACAAGTTGGCAAAATGACTTCCAAACACATGCAGAGAGCAAAAATGTAATTTTTCTCCCAATTTATGTTGGGAAGATGAGAGGATATAAACTTGAACCTTAATTAAATGCATAAAGGTCGTCAATATATGCACACTCCATGTTAGCCTGGACTGTTGACTTCGAAACCAAACATTAAATTTCGCTACCAGCTCCCATTTAATGCTTGATAGAGATCACTGTGTGCCTACAGTTCTTTGCACAAATGCATTCACCGTCTAATCAATGAAAATTTCAGTTCCTCGACAGCGGGTCCATTGGTCCATGCTACATATTTCAACAAGTCTCTCTCAGTAGCTTTCTCTTTCAGGAGAGACAATGCTTCTTCATGATTTGCTGTAATGCATGCAATGCAAATTGCAAAATTTAGTATAGGCTCGTGGCATAAAGTTTGATATTTGCTGTAATGCATCAAAATTAAGTAAACGAAAATTGAATAAGAACTGGTGTGTTAGGACCACGAGTGTTATTGATGTTTATTTACTTGAGCAAATATATTTCTTTATAGACAAGAAAGAATTGCTCATTTCGAGATATATGTCAGAATGTTTGTGAGATGAACACATTAATGTTCAGAGTTGTAAATGAAAAAGCTATGTACCGACAAGGGTCTGACATTGAACAATTCAATTTGCCTGTATTGGGATCCATTCCACAATAAACTCAGACTAGATGATTGAATGCAGCTTAGCTTGATCTACTTTCAATTTTCACATTATCTCCGCGTGTAATTAATGTAGCTAGCTAACCTCTCAACTGTAAAAGTTATTATAACAATTGGTATTCATACTAGTGTTGACATCTTCTTTTGTTTCTCCTCTATATAAACAATGTAGGCAGCATTTGTATTAGTCACGCAGCCCACCGTTCCTCTTAAGCTCACTTCCACAATATCCCTTCCTCTTTTGATAATCCTTTTTTAGGGTTTTTAATTTGATGGCGAGGGAAATAGGAAAATGTTGGGTGGTGGTACTGGTATTGGTTTTGAGTTTGCTTTATGGGGCTAAAGCAGCACCACAGGTTCCTTGTTACTTTATTTTTGGCGACTCATTGGTGGATAATGGGAACAATAATCAACTAACTTCATTGGCTAGAGCTAATTATTTGCCTTATGGGATTGACTTCGCTGGTGGACCGACTGGAAGATTTAGCAATGGAAGAACTACTGTTGATGTCATTGGTAATTAAGCTTCGATATTTTAAATGGATGTCACATCAAAATTAATTATCACTAATCCTTATTTGGTTTCCTAATATGCAGCTCAACTTTTGGGGTTTGATTCTTACATTCCTCCATTCTCAACTGCAACGGGTCAAGACATACTCAAAGGAGTGAACTATGCCTCAGCAGCTGCAGGAATAAGAGAAGAAACCGGTCGACAACTGGTGATGATAAATTATATACGAACTTTGCTTTTGTCAATTGATAACATTCGTGCAATAGTTTCTTAGATTTGGATATTGTATTTCTTCCAGGGCGATCGCATTAGTTTCAGTGGACAAGTAAGGAATTACAGAAACACAGTCCAGCAAGTAGTGAACTTACTCGGAGATGAAAATAAAGCGGCCGATTATCTAAGTCGTTGCATTTACTCAATTGGGTTGGGAAGCAATGACTATCTCAATAACTATTTTCAACCTCTGTATTATTCAACCGGTCAACAGTACACACCAGAACAATATGCGGATGTTCTTATTCAACAGTACACTCAGCAACTTAGTGTCAGTACTATATATTTAATTTCCATATGTTCTTATATGTACATTATTTCTTGGATTTTGTTTTCTAACATCAACATTTGAATGTTGCAGGCCTTATACGACTATGGGGCAAGGAAGTTTGTGTTGATTGGAGTCGGGGCAGTTGGCTGCAGCCCCAGTGAGTTGGCTCAAAACAGTCAAGATGGTAGAACTTGTGTGGAGAGAATCAACTCTGCAAACCAAATTTTCAATAACAAGCTCAGATCTCTTGTTGATCAATTCAACAATCAACGATCTGATGCCAAGTTTATCTACATCAATGCGTATGGGATCTTTCAGGATATGATAAATAGGCCTGCTGCCTTTGGTAAGTGTTTTTGAATAAGCTCCATTTCATTAATGGTGCAATTATAATAAACTAACATGTTTATGTAATTGAAATTTGTTGATTACAGGTTTCAGGGTTACAAATACGGGGTGTTGTGGCGTTGGGAGAAACAATGGACAAATTACATGTCTACCGGCACAAACTCCATGCCCGAACAGGAGAGAATATGTGTTTTGGGATGCATTCCATCCAACTGATGCTGCAAATGAGATCATTGCAAGGAGATCATACAGTGCTCAGTCTGCATCGGATGCTTACCCAATGGATATCCGCCGCTTAGCTCAGCTCTGAAGATGGAGATTCGGAGTTGAAGTGGGCTCATTAAGATAAATTTTTTATATACCCTTTGTATTATTTTTCAGTGTATCATTGTTGTTGTCATAATTATGGTTGCCTATAAGGAATTGTGCAATTAATTGTGTAATCACAAAAAAACAGTTAAAATTCATGTTTTGGGGTTGATTTTGCAATATTATGTGTATTTGTTTTAAGATAAGAAATGAGAATTGTAAGAGACTTTGGCTTTTACCGTATCTTCCATTTTAGTGGCTACTTTGGAATTTGGAAATTGTGAAACGTTTAAGAGTGACCATCATTAAATTATTTTAATTAAGTTAAAAAGCCATTTCTGAACAAGAATAATTCACAAACATGAGGAATATTAAAACCAAAAATCGGATGGTTGAGGATAAAGAAAGATCAACATAGTCTCTCAAATTAGACTTTTTTTATGTGAAAAAGTAAGAGGATGATTTAACACGGGCCCTTGAGTTCCACTATCCCTAATAAGGGTGATCATTAAAAATTTTATCCAATCGGTAGTTTTACGACCCTTAATATGGATGATTATTAAAACTTCTACTTGACTGATAGTAGGATATCTGAGGATTAGTTGAGGAACATAATACTCTCTTCTTTGTCTCCAAACTAAACATATTTGTTCGGTAGTTTTACGACCCTTAATAAGGATGATTATTAAAACTTCTACTTGACTGATAGTTTCAGGATATTGAGGATTAGTTGAGGAACATTAATACTTCTCTTTCTTTGTCTCCAAACTAAACATATTTGTTATATCTCGTGGGTCATAATCTAATATTTATTTCTTATAGCACAGTCTTTTACATATACATTATAATTTTCTCTGTGGAGTTTTTATTAATGTATTAAATGTTTTTTTTTTGGCGAAGTCTTTATACAAAGAGTAGAGATTTGGACAATCTTTATCACATGATAGACCAGCATTCCAACTTCTACCAACTCTTTCGTACCATCTTACTGAAACAGTTGAAATAAGTTTGCAAAATATCTTCTTCTAACTTGAGTTAGATAATCAATGAAAAGAATTACAAAATTTTACTCTAATTTGTGTGGCCAAAAAAGAGTGTGAAGATGAAGTCAGTTCCAATTTCCAACATTATATATATATATATACTATATATATATATATATATATATATATATATATATATATATATATATATATATATATATATAATGACAAAGAGAAAATGTTGGTACCAAAGTCTTACATTGGTTAAAAGACAAGGGTTTTGATCGCTTATATAGCAAAGGACACTCTCACTATCAGAGGTGCCTTTTCTGACAAAATCTGCTGGTCCAAGGTCCAAAGTGAACAATACTTTTGATAACTACATACCATGTGTTGGATCCGAGCTAGAAGGAGCTCTTAGGACCCTTGGAGGGCTGTGTTGGTGCCAAAGTCTACATAGGTTAGAAGATCACCTAGAGACACATTTTCAGGATAAACCCGCATGGTCGCCAAGACCCAAAGCGGACAATACTTTTAATCTCGATAGTATTTGGTGAAATATGTAAGTCTTTTATGGCCGATATATGAAGTTAATTAAAATATATCAAGCCTCCGCGATTTTGTTTGGCCAAAATATGACCAACTCAAAGTCTTTCATAGACGAACCATGCTTTCTTGAAATTCTATTATTATGAAACATTAATTTGCTTCTACCAATTTTATACTAATGGCGAAAAAGCAGGCATGAATGTCCCCCCCTCTCTGTCTCTCTCTCTCTCTCTCTCTCTGTGACAAATTATAAATGAATTTTTCTTGAGAATTATAAAGAAATCACGTGGACAATATACTATGTCATTTGCATGATTCTTTGTAAAATTTGTCTGATAGCAATTTTAAAATTTGTCCTTCTAGAAAATTATTTATTTATCTAATCTTTTAATATTCTATCTATTATTACAAATAAATATAGAATCTTCTATATTTATATTGAGTGACTATCAATAAAGAATTATATTATACATACAATATTTTCATGCAACATGATATGATAAAAAATGATTGGTGAAAGTTTATTTTTAATTTAAAATCAATTAATCATCTTTTGTCACATCATATTGTATAAAAATATTGTATGTGTAGTATTATATTGATAATTTTATCTTTCAATGAATTTATTTAAAAAGATAAATAAAGTTTATCAAAATGTATATATTAACTTTTTGATCGCATAATTTGGGGATGATGATCCTCCAAATCCATAATTTAAGGAATCCATTATGATAAAATAATAAATAAATAAATTGGATTAAATTGAATAATGAATAAATATAAATAATAAATTGAATAATAGATGAAATTGAAGAGTTTGACAATTGGAGTAGAGAGAATGAGAATTGAGAGTTGTGAGGAAAATATTTAGGTGAAATTAGGCTTATTTATAGGTTAGGCATGGGGGGAAGTGCAAAAAAACAAAGTTCTTTTGCACTTCCCCCCTAGCAACAGTCAATTTAACCATTGCCCAAGGTCTTTTTCTTTTTTTTTTTAATATTATTTTCAAAATTAAATTTTAACCTCTAAATTTTTATATTTCTATATAGGGGTTTTTAGATGTTTCTTAGGGGGGTTTTGGTAATTGAGCAAGGTGTTTTTGAAATTAATCGGGCTCTGGCCCTGGAGGAGGGACCACCTGGGCCCAATCCCTCCTCCCTTGGGCTTGGTCTAGTCTTGGGACCGGTTTCAAAGGGCTTGGGCTTTTTGCCCAACTCTAAAGATGATCGATGGGAAAGAGTTGGGTGCTTGTATCAAGAGAAAAATTTCTCGAAGTAATAAATTTTCTACATTCAGTGTCACAGTCTTTCAAGCACATTGATTATTTTCTTGCTACACATCACTTGTATCGCGAGAGACCAATTTTTTAGTGGAGCTTATTTCATAAAATGTAATACATATTACAACTCTCATCTATACTTTCCAACGTTACATATAATTAACAAACTAATCGTTCATTAACTTGGCTTGTAGAGAACAAGTTAATAGATTAATTAATATAGTTTTGACTATTGATCAATGTATTTATATTGTAGTAATAGCTAACTTTGAAGAGAAACAAAAGGGAATTAGATCTCGAGTAAACCACATGTTCCCACCCAAAGATCAGCATATTCAAGATTCTAATAATTAAAGTAATATCGTTAGTGACGATAGAGATTTAACACAAGAGCAGAAGGTGATATTACCAAATTGCCCTCCCACCTTCTTCTTCTCTATCTCTAACCACCCAGCCATTGCCACCCAGCCCTTGAACCACTATGTTCCAAACCGTTACCACAGTTGGCCCACCCTACAAAGCAGCACCCATAGGCCTCCACACACCTCTCCAAAACAACACCCACCATGAAGCAAATCAACCCAACAAAACACATGCAAATAAACCCAAATCCACACCATCAACACATGCAAACACACATGAACACACATGAACCTGTCACAAACACAAACCCACAAATGACAATGAGTAGCGATTCCATAGTGAGCGTCAGTTGGCGATTTGATGGTGTAGACAGGTGGAGATGATAGGGGTTTTGGTAAGGGAGGTGAGGTGATGTTGAATGAAAGATAAAACACAAATCACAGCAAAAACAACACAACCAATAATTAAATCCAAACAATCAAGTTCAAATTAAGCCTAATTTCATCAATTTAGCAAATCCCAATTCATTCAAACCAAAAACTCTAGAGAATGAAGGTCGGTGAATGGCAACAAATGGTAAGAGAATGTTGACGGGAAGTGTGAGGGGTTTTAGAGAGGGAACGCCGATGAATTGATTGGTGGAGGCAAAGAAGCTTTTTAGTGACCAGTTTAGTTGGAAAAGCTTGTGGCATGCAACTCGAACCAATGCGATTACTAGCGAACGGTGGGGTAAACGGGAGTGGAATGAGAGGATTTTTGGTGGGGGGATAGTGGGGAGAAAAATGGTGGTGATAAAGAGGGTTGTCGACGACAGATTCTAGCCAATTTGAGGGTCGTCGAGGAGGTCACAGGTGGCGGTGCAAATCTGGTGCAATTGGGCCAAATTTTGGTCAAAGTGGAGCTGGGTTAGTTCCAACGGTGCTGGGGAAGTGATTCCTATCAGGTTTAGTGAATTTTTCAGCAAGGAAGCAACCTAAATGGCCAGGGATGATGTGAAGGTTGAAAAAGAGGGTAAAGGTGGAGAGAAATTTGAGATTTGGGAGTTATTTTGATGTTTTAATTTCAAATCATGTCAATGACCATTTTAGCCTTTAATTTTTAAAAGAAATGAAATGGTGTTAATTTAAGGGCGAGAATCTAAAATATCTGAAACCAGGGGTGGAAACTTGTCATTTCGCTAATCTTTGAGTGGGAACATGTCGTTTGCTCTTAGATATTTTGATAGTCAAATTAATTAGGACTTAGAAAATTAAATTCACCAATATGGCATCAACTATCACTCATCAGCCTGATAGCCTCTCCATATAAATTGCAAATAGCCCATGTGATAAGTAAATAAGTATATGCTTGACTTTCTGTGAGGTTAATTAATAGAAATGACTAATATTAAATATGCAAAATTTTGTACAAATTTGTATTAGGTAGACAGTGAAAAAGTGAATATCAAAAGTCTACTTAATTAATAGTTATGCCATAGAGAAATATTAGACTTACAAAGAGTCTTTGTACAAAGTGACGTGACAGCTGATGCGGCAATGCCACACTACCTACCATGTCACCACTTTTTCACATCAACATTAATAATTATTAATCATAATAATTAAAATTATTTATTTAATCCAAATAAAAAAAAAAGCCAAAATACATTACAAACGCCGTCCACTTTCTCCTCCACCCTCTTCTTCTAAAACCCATTTTCTCAAATCTATGTGCAGAACAACATTCAACAGTAGCTATGCACAATCACTGTGTGTGGTGACAATAAATAGGAATACATGGGTGTACATAAGAATACATAGTTATGTATAAGTATACTTAACTATGTATACATAAATATACATACATATGTTTACATAGGTATGTGTAAATACCATAAGTATACATAGATGAAAAATGTATAGGTATGTGTAGATATACATAAGTATAAATAAATAGGTATACATAGGTACACATAATGTTTAGATATACATATTTCATCTATGTATACCTAAGTAAATCTCTACATACCTATGTATATCTGTATACAGAGGTACACATTATATTTACTTTTATAA